CAATTCTCTGCCAGGGAAACAGTGAAAATTAAGATATACTGCTAATGATGTACATGCCCAAATAGTCTTTTTAAATGCTAGCTGTTTGCTTTGGGGAAAGTTTTCTTTATAGTACACACACACAGGTTTCAGAGGTTCATATATATAGGGATGTTTGATTGTATGTCTAGTACACAGTACACAAATAAGCAGAGGGGACCTTTATTGTTGGTTTGTCTATGAGTCCTTTGGACAAGAGGCATAGTTAATTGTTCAGAATGGTGGTAACATATTCATTACCCCTTTTCTCTAACACAGTGATTTTTCTTTAGAAAGGGCATGAAATGGGAATCATTCTCCAAAACTACAAATAAATTTTAATGTACGGCTTGCATACATCTTATGTGCATTTCATATCTTATGAACACATTGGGCACATGCTGCTGGGCTTCCCAAATGTGGCATAACCCACTGATGACTCTAACTTGCCGGTAGGGCTGTTCCATTATTGGAATGAAAGGAATTTTAACACTATTTAGACAAAGTCCCAAATGCAGTGTAAAAGGGAAAACAGGACTTTATTTGATTTCTTACTCTCTCCTTTCTTCCTCTTTGTTCTTAAACTTAGGAATCTATGTGTAATAATGCTCATTTGGGAGGGATATGGTGCTTGGTGTTTAGTTGTGTTTACTGTTACCTTCCAAAGTTTCATCATGTCTGAAAGTGCTTTTTGGTGGAGGTTAGCTCTTTCCTTAAGCCAGTTACTTGGCCTCAGTTTTCACTGTGCTGCTGCTACTTTATCTTTCAATGTCTGGGGTCCAAACTGGCTTCTAATATTGAACCATCTTACAGAATTCTATCAAGATGCTTAATTATCATGTAATTGTGCTTCCCACCCCACCCAGGTCCCACTTTTTGATAAATAATTGCAGCCATTGTGTTATGAATCACACTCTTATTCTAAGACTATATTTGCCTAAAATCTTCCTTCTGTAGATGAACTTTGGGTTCAAGTGTCGTATTCATTTCCTCCTCTCCAGAATATGTGTGTATTTTCTGGCTGTAATCAGAAAAAATAAAAACCTCTAAAGCTGAGGATGGCTTATTTACAGCATATCTGAGAAGTTTTGCAATTAAAATTTTCTGCCAAGCAAAATTAAGTGTTTGTGGGACTTGCATTCAAGTTCATCAAGAGAGGTCAATATAGGAAGTGTAAACAGTGTTCTGGGCAATAGAACCTCCCAGGTCTAGGAGAGACTGGCCAGAATCCACCAGCCTGAAAAACTATCTGTGTCATTAAATTCGGGCCTTTACTATGGGTTGCAATATTATCTTTTTGTTTGTTTGTTTGTTTGTTTGTTTTTTTAAAAGAATTGAAAACAGAATAAGACAAAGGTCATTGTGTTTAGCTATATTTTCAAAAACAGTGTTGGCTTTGTCTTTATTCTATTAACTTCCAGGGAGGCCTACCAAAAGAGAAAACGGCCTGTGTTTGTAACATGGTTGCAGGAATTTGTGTCAGTTTTAAATGGGTCAGGGTTTAAGAATTCAACTGAAGGTAACAGATTTGTTTTTTTCAAGTCATCTTTCAATTAGACTCCATTCATAACTTGATTAGGGGACAGACAGCAATACATCAAAGCACAGCTTTCACCACCGGAAGGCACTATTTTCTTCTAATATTTATATTTTCGGAACTCATGGAATCCCTAGTTTGTGTGTGTAGAAACAGCTCCTTGAATACTCCCAGTGAAATACAGTTAGATAGGAAAGATAAACCCGATATGAACTAGAAATTCTGTGGGGAAAGGTTAGACCTTCATTTTCTCATTTAAGACAAATGACTTCCAAAGTTAAAGAATTAAAGATTCTTTAAAAATTCAAAAATTAAAAACAAATTAAAGCAAAATGAAACAACTCTGATTTGTACAATGTGTATATTTTGTCTTGTCAAGGCCATGGATGGCAACAAGAAAATAGGTAACAAGAAGATCGGGCCATGTAAATGAAATAGAAAAAATAATCAATTTTGGCCAAACAGCAAGAATTGTTTATCTTTACTATTAAATGCATATGTTCTCATGCACTTCTGATAAGTCGGACTTGCTGGTCCCCTCTCACTAGACTGATTTGCTCCTGAGTCAGAAGCTTATAGTCTTTCCACAAAGATCCACTTTGTGTGTGTATATATGTGTGTATGAGAGTGTTTGTGTATGTGTTTATGTGTGTGTGTGTGTGTTTGTCTGTCTTTTTTCTCCCTCTTTCTCTCTCTCTCTATGGCTCAGTTCATTGGGGGAACTAAAAACTTTGGGAAGTAAAAAAAAAAATGAGATGTCATAATTAGCCTCTATATTAAATATTAGTGACTACATGGTGCCAATCTCCTCAACTCTCAGAACAGCCTATAATTTTGCCTAGAATTACTGCCTCCAACTCCCCTGTTCAGAAATCAAAGAGGATGCATTTTGAATTTCACATCCAAGCACCAACACATCCAAGACTTGGGGCCCAGTTAATCTGTACACTAAGAAACGGAACAGAATCAAAAAAATGCAGTTTATTATTGTAGATTATTCTTCCTCTTGATATAACCAGAATTGAAAATGAGAGAGAAGCATGTAGAACATCACGCGTGGTTAGTTAGTAACTCAAGTTATAAAACAATTTTGCACAGCAAAATATGTAAAAGAAAAGTAACTGACAAAAGATTTTTTATATTTATTGTGGTAAGATTTACTTTTCTTTTCTTTTCTTTCTTTCTTTTTCTTTTTTTTTTTTTTTTAAAGACAGGATGTCAGTCCCTGAAAATAACATTTACTGGTTATTGCCTTTAAAACTGTGGATTTTTTTTTAAGTTACAGAAAATCCAGTTCTGCACCACAACACAACTGTAAAAAATCTGCATCGCTTTAAAACTGTGCAGTAATGCCATTTTTATAACTGCATAAATTTTATTAGCGTTCTAAACAGTTTTGCGATTTTTTTGTATTATATGCTTGCAGGTTATATCTTAGTGCAATTCAGTCCCAAATACTTTAATTTTGGAAAAAAACATACATTTTTGAATGCAAAATACCCCTACAGATATAAACAGGGGCATTTCCCCTTTAATACTTTGGTTTTCAATACAGTCCATGGTATAGCAAGAACTACACATACCCAACTTATATTTAAGTTGCAAGCACATGCTTCAGAAGCTACTTTTTAAACAGTCCCCTTGCAAACTCTACCCCCCTTAACATCACAACAGTAAACAATTTAGTGCATCGGTCTTTAAAAAAATCTACAGCTACACAGACCTAACTCTTTCAAATTTATCTATAACATTCCTTTATCTGTAGCATACATTTTAACTGGGCTAACAGATTATAAAAACTATAATTAAATTATATACTAGAAACTCATAGCATTCCACATTTGACAATGACCAAAAGCCAAAAAAGAAAAATAATAATAATAATAATAAAACAAAACAAAACAAAAACAATTGGGTCAGATTTCTCTTTTCTTTTCAAAGAAAATTTAGACTGCTTTTGGCAACAGCACAATTTAAAAGTGCCCCAAAATAGGTATCAATAGGTATCATTGCTTTTTTAAAAAAATTAATTTATATTCTGTAATATTTGCCATGGAAACTTGTAGCCCATTCTGGTATCTTTGACAAGGAATGCCTTCAGTGCATTTACATTGGGAGGCTGAAGTTCATAGTAACTCAAAGCAGTCGGGAGTAGAAGCAAACTTTCAAGGGAAGAAGGCTCTGGGGTTGTACTTTTTCAGTTGTTCTGAACTCAAAAAAGTCATGAGGCTGTAAAACAAAAGTATGGATGCCATGCGCTAAGTCTTCAAAAGTCCATTTCCAAGCCAAAAGGGGGGGAAAAAGAAAAAAAATAATTATACCATACATGTCCAGCATGCAGGTCTTTTTTTATTAATATAATGTCTCTTTTCCATAATGTCTTTGAAACTGTTATAGTTCATTGTTGCTAAGACAAAGTAGCAAGCATCATAATGCATGAGATGAGAATAAATTTATGGGTTTTTTTTCTTTTTTTGTGTGTTTTTGTTTGTTTGTTTTTTAACGACAGACTAAACTTCAAGATTTGGCATCCTAAGGCCAAAACTTAGGAGTCATACCCAGGAGCTTGAAGCAGGCTTGATTGTGGCAGGTTCAGGAGGGGCTTTAGTTCATTCTTTTTTAACATAACAATGCTTAAAAAAAAAAAAAAAACCCGGTGGAACTCATCATGCTGCAAGGTCTACAGCATTTCACAGTATTATTATTTTTTGTTGTTTTCCTTTGCAAGCTCAATCTCACAGAAGAACTCAGGAGGAGTAAAAAAAAAAAAAACTGCTGTTTTTTTCTTTTATCTCAAGAACATGTTGCAGAAGGAATGGGGGTGGAGGTTGGGGAACACGGCAAGCTCCAAAAAATAAACAAAAACAAAGAAAAAACAAAAGAAAATCCAAACAAAGTAAACACACACTGAATGAACACCAGCTCATGAACTGAAAAAAGAAGGAAAAAAAAAAAAAAAAAAAAAAAAAACCCAAAAACAAAAACGGGCGATTGATGGCCGGATTCAAAGGTGAGCTATGTTCTACATGAAGTACTCTGCTCAGATCTTTGACCCTTGTGCAAGTCCGGGGTGTGTGTGTGTGTGTGTGTGTGTGTGTGTGTGTGTGTGTGTGTGGGTGGGGAGAGGGGTGTTTAAAAAAATAAAAAGAACAAAACAACCAAGCTAGTAAGTTATGGGGAATTCAGGTTGGCAATCCAAGAGCCAGACACCCCTCCCCTCCCCAATTCAAAACAGTCACCACCACCATCACAAGTTTGGTGTGTGTGTGTGTGTGTGTGTGTGTCTGTGTGTCTGTGTGTGTGCAAGGCCAAGGGGAACAAACTCGCCAGGGGAGGGGGCAAAGTGGTGGCGAGCGTGGCCCTGCAACTAGCAAGCCCACTCAGGAGCTGGACCCCCACGGAGCATTTAACCAGGTGGCTAGCTGGGATCGCGTGTCACACTCACATGAAAAATTCGGGAGAGGACGGGTTGTCGCTGCTTGAGCCGTTTTCTCGGAACCCGCTGCTCACCAACTTCTCGTATTTCTCCTTGTAGGCGTCCCTTTCGCGCACCAGCCTGGAGATCTCCTGCTTGAGGTGGTCGACCTGCTGTAGCAGCTGGTTCTTCTCCGACTCCAGGACGTGTCTCTGCTGCACCCTCTTGAAGCGGCAGGACTGGGCATAGCCGCGGTTTTTCAGGGTCCGCCTCTTCTGCTTCAGTCGGATCACCTCCTCCTTGCTGACCCCGCGCAGCTGCCGGTTCAGCTCGCGCACCGACATGGTCACCAACTGCTCGTCCGAGAAGCGGTCGTCGAAGTGCAGGCCGCCCGCGGCATGGTGCGGGTGCAGGGCACCCCCCGCCCCCGCCGCACCCCCTCCGCCGCCGCCGCCGCCGCCCCCGGCGCTTGCCGGGCCACCGCCGCCCGTGCCACCCGCGCCGCCCGCAGAGGCGGACGCGTTACCCGCGGCTCCCGGGGCGCCGGCCGTCGGGTGGTGGTGGTGCCCTGCGGCGTGGTGGTGATGGTGATGGTAGTGTGGTGCCGCGCCGCTCTGCGCGGCAGCCGCGGCGATCACGGCGGACACCACGGCGGCGGCGGGGCCCATCTCCTCGCCGCTGCCGCCCAGGGAGGCGCCGGCGCCGGCTCCCGCCGCTGCGGCCAGCTGCTGTGCTCCCCGCGCGTAGCCATCGAAGCCACCCTGGAGCTGGTGGCTGTTGCTGATGAGCGCCTCGACCGCGTCCTCTGGGCTAAAGCCCAGCGCCTCTGGGTTGAGCTGCTGCGGGTAGCCGGTCATCCAGTAGTAGTCTTCCAGGTGCGCCTTCTGTTCGCTGCCCGAGCCCGGGCTGGGCGCCGAGAAGCTGGGGGACGGGGGCACCGAGCTGCAGGGCGTGCTCATGGGGGTGGAGGACAGCGAGCCCCCAGCGATGAGACGGCCGCACTGGCTGATGATGCGGTCGGTCTCCACCGGTTCCTTTTTCACTTCAAACTTCATCAGATCGAAGTCATTAACATATTCCATGGCCAGGGGACTGGTGGGCAGGTCGGAATTGTTCATTGCCAGTTCTGAAGCCATCCTCCTGCCTCCGCCGCCGCCGCCGCTCCGCCAGATGGGCTGCAGGAGAGGGGCCAGCGGGCTGTGCTGGGTGGCCAGCGGGTGAGCCAGCTTGCCGGGCTAGGGCGCTTCTAGCTCGCGCGGTGGTGGCTGTGGCCCGAAAGCTCGAGCGTGCACACACCCCCCGCCCTGCCCGCAGCCCCCCGCGCCCGCCCTCCCTCCCCCTGCTCACGCCAATGTGCTCTCTCTCTTTTTCTCTCTTGCTCTCTCTCTCTCTCCTGCTCGCCCCGGGCCCCCTCCTCGCCTGCTCGCTTCCCTGAGCTCCGATCCCGGGCGCTTCAGGCTCGGGAAGGTCCTCCGCAGCTGGCGGCGGCGGTGGCGATGACGGCGGCAGAGAGGATGCCGAAGGAGCCCGGCCCGGTGCGCGGCGTCCCCAGCTCGCCGCTCCGCTGCGCGCTTTGCATAAGGAGGGCTCGCCTAAGCCGGTCGGGCTGCAGGCGGGGCGCGCGCAGCGGCTGCTCCGGGGCTGGGTGGCGCGGCGGGTGTCTGTCCCGGAGGCGCCGGCCTCGGTACCTGGGTAGTTAACACTTCTCGCTTCTTTCCTCTTCTGCCTGGCTCTTATGATTACTATTATTATTTTCTCTTTTCTTTCTCCGGATTCCTCGCGTGTGCGCGCTCTCTCTCTCTCACCCTCTCCCTCCGTGCAAAGTGCAAGACCAGACGGAGGTGCAGGCCCGCTGGAGGCAAGGGAGGGGGAGTTTAGTTCTTTCTTGCCGTTTTTTTTTTTTTTTTCTTTTGGTTTTGTTTCTTTTTCTTTTTCTTTTGGCTTTTTTTTAAAAAGCAAAATTGCAAAGTCCTGGGCCAAGGCGAGGCGAGAGCAAAAGGGTGGGGGTAGAGGCCGAACGGACTAGCAGCCTGAGCTACAGCTCCAAGATGAAAAAAGATTTTAAAGCCTCTGATCCAGCGAGAAGAGTTTAAAGCAATTGCTGAGTTTTATAGCACCCGTGACGTCAGACTCAAATGGGAAATTGACTGGCACTGTCCTCCAATGGGAGGCGGCGAGTGCGGCCGCGATTAGCATAATAGTATAGAAACAAGGAAACTTTTCGGAGCTGTCAATCACAGCCCAATCAGCTGACTGTCAGCTGGGACAGGCTGGCTTAACCCCTGCGGCGCCGCTGCTCTGGAGCAGCTAGGGAGCAACATTCCCCCACCCCCGCCCCGGTTGAAGTTTAGTGCACCAGGGGACAGAGTTTACTAAAAGGGCGCTGGAATCTGGGAGTACCCGAGAGAATGGTTTGCTTTTCTTCGGAGCTGGAGAGAGGCCTGCCCTGCTGAGTTGCAGCTCTGGAGCTCTGGAGCTGCAGAGATCCTAAACGCTACTGTCCCTTGCAGGTCCCGCACCCTGACAAGGTGCATTCATTCCTCTAGCAGTTTTCGCTCTTGGATCCTCCTTCAGCATCTTCCGTGGCTGTTGAGAGATGAGGTGTGTGTGGGGGGGTGGGGGGTGGGGGATACCTTCTTTGCCTGAATCTGATGCTCTGGGATCCAACTTGACTCAACTCTTTGTCCCTCTCCAAGTGAGGTGATCAGATGGGGGCGCCAAGGATGCGGGGACCCAGAACGCGCACTGTGCACCGTGCGCCTGCACTGGTTGTTTGGATTTCGCGCGGAGAAGAAAGCCTGTATGACTCTCTTGAAAAACGAGGGGGGCTAAAGTATTTGGGGACGTTCTATATAGTGACTAGCTGCCTGGCTGGTCTCTTAGGCCCTTGGAGAGAGTGACTGGGCGGCTTTGCCAGCAAGTTGATTCCCGGACGCTCAGAGCCTGGTCAGCCAGAATCAACCCTCAGGCTCCTGACTCTGGCTGGGAGTTTGGCTTCTGAGAATCATATTCACACTCACTCTCTCGCTCCTCCCTTCTTTCTCTTTCTGCCTGTCCTCAAAGTCTCTCCTCTCTCCCCTTTACTATATCCACCATCCTTTACATTTAGGAAACCTGAAGCGTGCTTAAGATTGCCCCCCCCCATCACCACCATCCTCACCATCATGAAATCCAAACCCTGTTTATCAGGGTCCGGGGTGCCCTTTGCTCTCCCATCTCGTTTACTTATTTGTTGTTTGGGACTTGGTAGTGAAACGGGGAGGGAGGGAACAATACTCCAGAGCCCTCCCTCCCCTCCAAGGGTTAAATTTTAAACTGCTTCTTTTCTGGACAAGTCCGGAAACCCAGAGAGAGGGGGTGGGGTAGGGTGGCCCCCCTCCCGTTACAAATGCTAATAACCGGTTTAATCTTCTTGGCTGATTCTCCCAAAGTATGCAAAAATATGGGAGGGGGTGGTTAGGGAAAGAAAAAAGAAAAGAAACTAACAACTCTTTTCTAAGATTTTAAAGCGATAGGCAAAACCGAAGAGCTGAGATTGACTGGGAGAAAGCAAGGTTGTCTGAAGCCTTCCTATATTTGGAAGAAGGGCACACCTGCTTGGAAATTGGGACCATTGATTATTCCTTCGTATAAGGGAATGCATTTGGTATTAATCGTATTTAAGTATTCATTTGTTTTTAACTCGATGGGGGTGTCTATAAGGGTGTACTAAAAAAAAGAAAAAGAAAAAGAAAGAAAAAAAAAAAAAATCCGAAAAGCCCGCAAAAGAATTCAGAGTAAAAACTGTTGTTGGATCGAGTTGGTTTTTACCTCAACAGCGCCACCTTTCGGCAAAGGTTAGTTGAAAATTGATTTGTCCGGTTTTGAGAAAAGTAAGAACTCTCTGGTTTCCCCAGGATGGGAAGAGGCAAAAGGGGCAAAAAGCTAGTTGGATCCATTCTGCGAGTTGGTGTTGAAGTATTTCTTTTTCTCTAATGGCCCTCTTTGTTACTTCGGAAGAGGTCCATAGACACAGTCCTCAGAAGAGGTTAGTTGGTTGGGCCTAGAGACCTGTGTATGTTGATGTCCTGTAACAGGGCCCAGGTTCTTTCAAAGTGCCAGAAAGGATTTTCAGCCGGCTTTGTGGCAATAACAATAGAGCTAAAGTTCCTAGTAATTCAATGGTATATGAGGCAGCTCTCATAAGCAAAACCATCATAACAGTATGAAATCGTTTATTTAAAAAGTAATTCCCAGAAAAACCTGACTTCTGACACTTTGTCATGTATTAAGCTGATTTTGTGAACATTGCACCTAAGTGTGGTCTCAAACCTGCCCACAGCATTTATTTTTAATTATTTATTTTTGCTGTTTATAAAGAGGCTTTGGGTGTCACTCACCAGTTTGGGACACCAGATTAGACCACTGCTAATTTCTCACCAGCAAACTCTGGCACCCCTACTGGTAGACACCCTGGTAGATATGTAGCAACATCCTCATTCTAAAGGGCTTGTTCTATGGGTATTTTCTAGACAAGCCATTCTTTTCGTATTGTTTCTGCAGAGTGGCTGTGTGTAAGGGTGGTTCGGGGTTTATAGGAGTGCATTGTTGGGGTGTCATGAACTGTGCTTAGTTCCAATATGGGGAAGAAAGCATGAAGGCTATGTCAATATTTATGTGACCTAAGAAACTCCTGTCTTAGCTTTCCTCCTTTCAAACAATATTTTACCTAGTGATGAAGTTAAGGGATTTACATGTTCATTTGAAAGAAAAGCCAGTGTTTAAAAATCACATTAATGCTGTGCTGATTAGTTATTTTTTTTAGGTCTTTCTAAAAATCATTAACCACAAACACCTAACGTTTATGTTTCTATGGAAAATATGAATATGTGTCTTTACATAGAATTCTTTTTATGCTAATTTTTAGAATTTTCAGCATCAAGTTTTTGTTAAATGCTGTAAAGTATAATGCTTGCCTCTTGTATTTAAAAAAAAAAAAGTATGTTTTGGGCCAGGAACCTGGAGACTGCTATGTTTAAAAATAAACATTTTTTATGAACAAAAAATTGCTGATGATAGACGCCATGCCCTATAGCTCCATGACCACATACCCAATTGTCAGAATTATATACCATTTCTAGACATTCGGGAACCAAATTTGGCCAGCTAACAGTATTATTATCTCCACTTCTTTACGGTTTATGTTTTCATTCTTGCTATTGTCTGCTACAGCATTATCCTTCCTCTTTTTTGCAGAGCCTTTTACAATTTCCTACTCTCCTTTGAAGAGAGAGAGAGAGAGAAAGAGAGAGAGAGAGAGGAGGTCAGAAATATTTTTAAAGACATGTCACTGGAGTGTTTTCAGGGTTAGCACTTAGGTCCTATTTTGTCCCTCTTCATTGTTTAGTGATGCACAGGAGGTGTCTAAACATTTACAGTTTGCTGTTAGCAGTGTTTCTTTGATAACAATTGCAAGCTCTCATTTTAATTTAGTCCCATTCAGGTTTCTGATTCCCCACAATTATAGCAGGCCACAGTGTTTGCGACTTCTTTGCTAACACTGTTTGTTTCTCTTCTAGCCAAGCCAATCTAATCCAAATACAACATGAACCCCCCACACTCCCATATATATTTTAGTAATCTCAGCCAGCTATGCACAATGATTCAGAAACCACATGTTTGTCATTATTGACCAATTCAAACTGGTAGCATTAATTTTTCTGCAAGCAATGAATATTTATAAAACAGTCTGGATGGGAAGGAGGGCTGGTCATGCAAGAAGACTTGGAAACAACAGAAGACACAACCATAACTCTGAGTCAATCTACATATAGCTTCATACAAACTGGGATGGAGGTGCAGAAGGCCCTTCATGTCTAAATTGCAATATTTGAGGCTGAAAGGAATGCATTTTTCCTGATTACTAGTTACTACCACTGAAACATATGTATAAATCAGACATACAGAACCTGAAGTGAACAGGGTATAGCTAGAAGCTTCAGATGGCTTTGTTTATGTGCCAGCTGGTTTTATGGTGCTGAACTAACTAACCAGTGTCCACTAAATTTCAGTAGGAAACGGATTCCACTGATCTAAAAAAAATAAGTTCTGGAGAGAACTGGAGTGATAAGGTATCCTTGCTTCCTAGGTCTAGTGTTAGATAAATTCTTTTAGCCGTCTTCACTTAGCAGGGTAAGTAAATCACAGACTGCTGTTAGCAGATTCATGGAAGAAAATTAATAGAATCAGGCGAGATAATCTGATAAGGGTAAATTTGCTGAGGAAACAGTCTTGGCTGGCATCGGAGGGCGAGAAACAACAGTCTGATTACGAAGAGTTGTT